CACTTTGGATATCAAGCTAGTTTTACAAGTGAAAATTTTGCCCATAGCAAGAGCATAAATAAAGAGATATTTTGTGAAGGAAGACAAGCCTCTATATTCTGACCTTGAAGCAATAGATCGGACATGGATATTTTGGGATGAAAGTTTACTAGTATTATTTCATACCTTCATTTTCTTTTTTTGATTTATTTTGTTGATCTTTATTGAATATTTTTTTTTTTTTGATTTTTTAATTTGATTTTGGCTATTTGGTTATTTTTTATTTTGATTTTGAATATCTTACTGGGTTTTTTATTATATTTATAGTGATCAAGTTTAACGTTTGGCTTAGTAATGAAGAAAAAGAAGAAGGGAATGGTTGGCACAAAATGAAAATTTGAGAGGAAGATAAGCAGGGGCAAAGCCAGGGTTTAAAGTTAAAAGGGCAAATTCTTGAATATGTGAGTTAGTGGGGCAAAGTGATAAAGGTGTGTTACATTTTGCTGAATAGGGGGTTCAATCAACCAAAGTAAGCTATTTTTTGAAATCTTTTTTAAGAGGGAGAGCAATTTCCCACCCTCTAATCAAGGTAGCTCTGCCACTGAAGATAAGGGTAATTTTATCTTATTTGTCATTGACTTAACAGCCAAATTGACTAGAATCAAACGGAAGGACTAAATTTATGACGGAATAAAACATAAGGACTTCAAAAAATATTTCTAGAAATGGGAACTGACTAGTTGTATTTTGATATATACAAGGATATAATAGTAATTTTTCCTTTTGGAAATTTGTTTTTGTATATCTAATAAACTCAAGGCATCTCACATGATATTAATAATCTTTGTGTTTTAAAAAATGATTTCTGAAATGAACAACAACTAGTTGGGGTCGGCTATATGAATCATTTATTTTTCAAAATTCGCTCTCATCAAATTAATATCAATACGATGAAAAGTAATAAGTTGAAAAAAAATATATATTTTGAAGTACCTTTTGTAAAAAACATTTTAATGGAAATTTTAAATCAGTTGATATGTTAATAAATAAAACAAAGCATAAATAGGTAACAATAACTCATTAGAGTCTACTACATGAATCTTTTGTTTTCATTTTGTTCTATTCATAATTATATTCTCAATTATATTCAAAGACAATAGGTCTTTTGCAAAAACTTGCCTCCAAGCAGTTGTAGGTTTACCTCTTCCCCTTTTGACACCATCCACTATTAAAGTATCATATTTACGAATCAAGGCATATTGGGGTCTACGTAATATATGACCATACCATCTCAAACATCATTCTCTCATTTTATCTCAAAATTTTGCAATTTGCACATTTTCTTTAATGTGATCATTTCTAATCTTATCCAACCTTATGATCACACATTCATTTCAGCATTTGCATCTGTGCAATATTGATCTTGTGAGCATGTTGGGCATTTGGTACCCAATGATCACTCTCATTTAGCATTATTCGTCTCACCATCGTTTTATATATAGAACTTACCTTTCTTCTTGTTAGATATTTTCCTAGCTATTACATATTTAGCACTCCTCCATTCCATCCATCCTACTTCAAGTGTGATGAGAAACATCTTCATCTATGAGATCCCCTTCTAAAACATAGAGCCTTGCACTTGGATACCATTATATCATCTAATCTAAACTGACTTTCCCGCTTTTTCTTAAACCAAACTTGCAATGTATATAAATCATTTTCATTTTTCTTAGCCTTAAACTCTTTTCCCCAAGAGTTCTCCTCCATATTTTCAACTTTTGGTTTTATCTCTTACTAGTTTCATTAATTAGGACAATATCATTTGCAAATAACACGCACTAAGGAACATCCTATTGTATATTACTAGTTAGCACATCCATTGCTAGGGTAAATAAGTATAGGTTCGAAGCACATCCTTCATGTAGCCCAACTGTTATGGGGAACTCTTCCATATCTCCTCAATTTTTTCTCGCACCAATGACTCATGCATTTTCATACATAGCTCTAATGATGTTTATATAGTTGGTATGCCTCCTTTTTTCTCTAACACCCACCAAAGCACTTCTCTCAATACAGAAGCTTTCTCTAGACCAATAAACAACATGTGTAAATTCTTCTTTTCTCGATAAATTTCCATCAATCTTCTTAAAATTGAAAACAATTATAGATCTACTTAGACATAAAACCAAATTAGCACTCGGACGTGTGGGTCCCGAATATATATGGCACAACCCAAGAGGGGGGGTGAATTGGGTTTTCTAAAAATTGAAATAAATTTTAAAAATTCTAAACAGAAATTAGAATTCTAAGCACAGCGGAAAACAAACAATTATAGATCTACTTAGAACATAATCAAATTAGACACTCGACGTGTGGGTCCCGATATATATGGCACAACCAGAGGGGGGGTGAAAAATTGGGGTCTTATGAAAATTTAACCACTTCTAATTTGTGATCTAGCTTTAATAAGTGACATAAGACGGTGCTCCGGCACCGATTGTGGCATCCGCCGTCTGGTTTTCCGGAATTGGCCGGTGGGTGTTACACTCACAATGTTCTAATTGCAAAAGATAGAAAGTCTGTGCAAAGTGCAGCTATTGATTAGAACAGCTTTACACTGACGTATACACTATCAGAGCTACTTTATGGATGAAAGTTATAGAAATTGAAACTTCCTCATAAAGTTTGAGAAAACATATAAAGCTATGCGAAAGACAGTTATTAAAATCAGAACTTCTTCACAGAGCCTTAATAATAAAGTATTGAACAACTTTATGATAGGAGAGCTATCAAGAATAGAAACATCCTCATAAAAGTTAGGAAACATTAAATAGAAACCCAATCAGTGAATAATACTGGCAAATAGAAAAAATAGTTTAGAACAAAGTATACTTTCAACTTTAATTAGAATACCAGAGTTCTAATGTTCAGAATAGATAAGACTTTTGGTCGTTTTTAGAAACATCTGAATTTATTAACATTTCAGCGTTTCTAAAAATTAAAACAAGAGTGTAAAAGAGTACATTACTCAAACCAAACTTCAGAAATAAAGAGATCAACACCGAGAGTTATAGTGGTTCGGCAACTAACTCGCGCTACATCCACTCCCCGCAAAGAACCGCATCTTGAAGATCCTCACTAAGTTAATCTCTTTTAAAGGGTAAGAAAGACAAACCACAGTACAGGCAATAGATCAAACCTAGATCTACCCGTTTTTGTCCCACTAGAATTTTCTAAGGTTAAATAGTTAAACCTCAACCGCTTCTGTTTTGGTAGAGTAACAGAAAACTTCGATTCCAAGACCATTACTATCCCACATCAATTTGGGAGAAGGTCGCTTGGATAAGCTCTATCTCAATAGCTTCTAACCTAAAGCTATTACACACAAAGTTTAACAAATAAACGAGCCTGGTCTACTATAGAATACAAATTCTCAATAGACAGAAAGAAACGCTATATAAGCACGCAGGAAAAACAATTTATCAGATTAGAAGATCGATTAGAGTCAGAATTGGTTTTTAAAAGTAATTGTAAAAATCTTTTTCACTTTAAAATAATGGAAAACGTTTAAGTGTAGGATGAAAAGAATGGGGGGTAGAGAGTAAGTTTTGAGAGATAAAGATTCGTTCAATGAGCAGAATGCTCCTTAAAACAAAACTCTTAGCTTCACAAATGTTTTAAAGTGCGTGAATGTTCCTTTATAATAGGAAGCAAAGGAGCTGTTCGCCTGTTTGAAAGACGATAAGAAATCAATATCTTTCTTTCCTTTTAGAAGATATGAAAATCTTTGTTACCAAAAATTTATTTTATCCTTTTTGGTAAGAGAATAAAACCCGATTTTCACTTTCCTTTAAATAGAAGATTTTCGACAGCATTTATTTTGGAAAGATATAATTGCGGAAGAATGCTCTTACTAAAACCGAAAGAGATTCTCCTTCGTTTTTAAGGTAAGAAAATAATTTTATGCACTTTAGATCTTTCAAAATATATTTCCGAAAAGGTGTATGATTTTATTACCAAAAACATTAGAGAAGAGATCTCTTTAGTTTTAGGAAAATAAATTATTTCAAATTAAAGAATATTTTCGAAAAAATAAAATATTTTTACGATAGAAATTATTTTGAAGAAAACTAATTTTCCGAAAGATATTTTTGAGAGAGAAAAATAATTTTTGTGCTCATATATAGATTTTCTCTCTATCCTACAAAGTTTCCTAAATACCTAGCCACTAGGTACTTCGAATATCTTCACACTCAATGTAAGACTTGCCTTGTACGATTTCTTTCCAAAGAAATTCTGCATAAAATGAAATTAGCACAAATAACATAATTTTAAATTTTTTAGAAATTTATAAAATTAGCACAAATAACATAATTTTAAATTTATTCGTTTTGTATTAATCATCAAAATCCGAGATTAAAAATCGACCCTTGAGCCAACAGGACGTTTTTGTAATATCCCTAAATGTAGTTTCTATTACTCTCTTCCAAAGCTTCATAAAGTTTAACTCAATAAAATTCTCAAAGCTTAAATAAATTTTCAATTATTATTAGCATTTTCAAAATATAAAGAGAAATTTTAAAATGATATTAATTATATTTAATTTCATAAAATGAAAATCCATAAAATTGAAATAATAATGTCATAAAAATTGTAATTAAAATGCACAAACAGATATAAAAACATTGTGAATTTTTTTCTGTTATTTTTATGAAATGAATTTAGAAATTCCAAAAGTTTTAATAAATTTCGATTCAGATAAATTTAATTCCATAAAATCAAATGCATGAAAGTGAAATATACTTTTTCAAGGTTCTGACAAGAAAACGTGAAATTTAAAATGAATTTTATAAAATCCATTTGTATATTATATGTTGTTGAATATATAATTAAATTAATTTTAAATTCATTATTTTAGATATATATATATAAGAGATAATTGAATGAAAATTACAGGGCACCCTGTCCCTACATCCAATAGATTTATGGGCATAGGCACCCTATAAATGGAAGTGTTGAAAGGCCAATTTCCAAACATTGAGAGCTGAAAATCATTGAATTGATTGAATGAGAAAATGGAGGTTCCTTCATTGACAGTGGTGTTGGCTTTATTTTATGCAGTAATAGTTGGAGGAGCATTGGGAGATGGTGAGCTGAGTACAACATTTTATGAAGAAAGCTGCCCAAATGTCTCAACCATTATAGGTGGAGTGCTTAAAGAGGCCTTGCAATCTGATCCAAGAATGGGTGCTAGCCTCCTCAGGCTTTACTTTCATGACTGCTTTGTCAATGTAACTTTCTCTCCCTTCATTATCTATCTTCATCATCATCATCATCTTGTTTCATTTTTTTTTTTTTTTTCTGTCGATTGAACTTGAAATATTTATATTAGTGATGAATTTGCCCAGCAATCAAGCGTATGCACTTTTTTTTTTTTAAATTTCTCTTTTACTTCTTTCATTTTTTTATTATTTCGAGTCAATTTGACTTCTGACTACTGATTAAAGTTGTTTTACCAATGGCGGTTGGTTTGAGTAGAAAAAGACTCCAACTCTTTAAGTAAGAGGTTGAGTGTCTAATCTTTGTGAATTAAAAAGATCTCAATGGAGAGCGCTTCTCTCTTATAGATTGAAAAATAATTTATTTACTTGTATCATTTTTTAAATTATTTTTAAATCCCATTTGATTGACAAAATAATTTATTTGCTTGCACTTTTAAATGATTGATTTAAATAGATTAGCACTTGAAATTCATGAATATCTAAATTTCAATTTATGATTTTTCATTTGTTATTTTTTTTTAATAAGGATGTATTTATCCCAGAATTTATAAAGCAATATCCAATTTTTTCAAAAATTAACTTTTTTTTATACAATTTTCCATTTAAACTTGCACCAAAAGAGCAAAAAATCTAATTTTTAAATTTAATTTAAATCAAATATAATTTAAAAACAATTAAATAATTGGTTTAAACAAAATAAAACTAGAAAATAATAAATATTTTTCAAATCAAATATTCAATATAATCAAATATTTTTTCTAATTCTATAACTTGTTTACTTGAAAATTTTGTTTAATTATTTTTTAAAACAAAGAAAAGACACTATAATTTTTTTTATAATTATTGTTATGTATTTTAAAATATTTTTTATTTCGTAATTTTAAACTTTTAAATAATTTTTATTACTTAAAAATATTAACAATTATTTTTTATAATTTGACTTCTTGTTCTTTTTTCATGTGAATTTGGGGAGTAAATTGTTCAAAAAGTTAATTTTTAGGCAAAATTGAGCTTTATTTCTTTTTTGCAATGCAGCAGTATTGAGTATCCTATACAATTTTAGGTATAAAACTGCTATGGTTTAAGAGTTCATGGCTACCATCCTCGTCAATATTTTTATTCGAATCGAACCCCTAACTTTGCAAAGATTTTCTATTAAGTGTGTCTTATCACTTGAGCCACTCTTTATAGACATTTTTCATTTGTTATTTATAAGAAAATTAATAAACATTGAGATTTATTATTTTAAATTTAATGTGTATCAACTTAAATGTACTTGGTACAAAATATGCAATCCAACGTAATAAAATAAAATAAAATAAAATAAATTTTTAGTATATTTTTCTGTTGAAATTTTCATTTGGTTACATTCATTTACATAGGAAGGAATTACAAGTATTGAAACGACATGTAGTTTGTATTTGAAAGATTCCAAGAAATTAATGAATTGCTGTGTGTTTCAGGGTTGCGATGCATCAATTTTATTAGATAACAGTTCAACTATTCAAAGTGAGAAAGATGCTCTTCCTAACAGAAACTCAATCAGAGGGTATGAACTTGTTGATAAAATGAAGGCAGAGTTGGAAACTGCTTGTCCTGGAGTTGTTTCCTGCGCCGATATACTCACCATCGCAGCTCAAAAATCTGTTCATTTGGTAACGTTATTAGGTTATAATTTTTTTTTTAATTCATTGGATATTCAATATGGGCCGAAATAGTTTTTCTATTGGCTTATCAAATTCGTGAAAATTATTGTAATCCATTTGAGTCCCACATTTCTCACATAAGTGAGAACCAATTAGACAACCATCTGATTGACTATAGTCTTATAATTTTTTTTTTTAGCTAACACTACGGAGGGTAGTCCTCTAAACTCATCAAATTAGTGAAAATATTTATGGTCGAGAAAACTCGAATTCGAGACATCTTACTCCTCACATAAATGAGAGAAAACTAATCAAACCACACTTGATTGGCACTATAATCTTATATTTTTTATCTATATTGAAAATGATTAATTTTAATCTAATCAATAGATCTTAAATTTAATTTGTCATCACGAAAAAATTACTATTTCGTCTTTATATTATTTTAATTTGGTCTACGCCTTTCTAGAAATACATAATGTTTGATTCCATAACTTTAAATTTTTATTAAAATTATAATCAAAACAAATACATATCTGCATAGTGATAATGTAGATTCCATGAACTTTTCATATCTATGCAATTATTTGACTAAATGAAAGGTCTATAAATCTTATACATGTTTCTAATTATAGATCTTTTTCGATGATAAGAATGCAGAAATCACATATATTTGAGCTCTTATTAAATACATAAATCTATTAATATTTTTCAAAAAAAAAATGTAATATTTTAATTTTTACTTTAACCAATTGAACATTTTAATTTATAAAACTGTACATATTAAGTAATTTAACTTATAAAATTATTCTACTAAACTTTTTAAATACTTTAAAGCTTAATCACAAGTGTAAAGAGATGTATAATATTATTAAAATTCATATCTTGTAGCATAAAATAGATCTTCTATAATTAATTTATAATAATAATAATAATAATAATAATATATGGATAATGTGTGGTTGCAGGCGGGGGGACCATCGTGGAGTAGTCTATTAGGAAGAAGAGACGGCACAACCGCAAACTTAACTCTGGCCAATCTTATAATGCCAGGTCCAACTGAATCCCTCAATGCGATCAAGTCCAAGTTCGTAGCCGTCGGCCTCAACAATAATACTGATCTCGTTTCACTATCAGGTACCCCATTTTTCTTTTGGGTAATTACTGTATAGTCCCTAAATGGTAGGGCTGCAAATGAGATAAGCCGCTTGTGAACTCGTTTAATCAACAAGCCAAGCTTGAGCTTGTGTCATTAGTTTGCACTAGTTAATTCTATCGAACTGAGCTCATGAGCTAACTAACAAGCTAAACTTATCAAGCAGAGTCGAGCTCACGAGCTAGCTCAATAAGACAAAATCAATTAAAACTTATATTAAAACGACATCATTTTTTGTTAATAGATTTCGAATTTGTGCTCGGCTCGTTTAAGGTTATCGAGTTGAATTTGAGCTTGGCTATTTTTAAATGAGTCGAGCTCGAGCTCAGATTTTTGAGCTCGAGCATATCCTCATCGAGCGAAGCTTGAACTCACCAAAACTCAACTCAGCTCGATTTATTTATAGCCTTACTAAATGTTGTTCAAATACATTAGCAAAGACTTCTATTTTCAAAATCACACTATTTAGTCCTTGCATTATAATTTCATTGTACTATAAGATCCAATCATTAATTTTTTTTTGTTAAGTGACTATGAAATGTCAAAAGTAACTCTAAAGATAATTACTATATGATCCTTATGATTTGATAAAATAAGAACCTCAATTTTCATGATTTTATACTATTTAGTTCATATATAGTAATTATTTTTATGGGTGTTTTTTATATTTCTCAACCACTTAATAGAAAAACTAACTATTAGACTATATGGTAAAATAAAATTATATATTGTGACTAAATAATGTAATTTTAAAAACCATGATCCTTATTAATGTAATAGATAAAAACTTAGGGACCATACAGTAATTATCTCCTTTTCTTTTTTCTTTCTTCTTTTACAATGTCACGGTGAGCGAGGCTTTTTTGGGGGTCGTGCTATAAGTAACTTAGCTAAATCTATTGATGGTCGATGTAAAATTTCCGCCTCTAAATCTCGAGAAAGGAGGCGTTAGAGGTGTCACTTATCCCTTAAAAGTTTTTTAAAAATTATCTTCTAAAAAATTTATATTTTTCGGTTCTACTTTTTAAAATAATGTATTTTTTTTCTATTCTTAGCTTTTTTTTTTTTTTTTTTAAACCATGATCCTTATTAATGTAATAGATAAAACTTAGGACCATACAGTAAATTATCTGTCCTTTCTTTTTACTTTTCTTCTTTTACAATGTCAACGAGTGAGCGAGGCTTTTTTGGGGGTCGTGCTATAAGTAACTTAGACTAAAATCTATTGAGTGGTCGATGTAAAATTTCCTGCCTCTAAATTCTCTGAGAAAGGAGGCGTTCAGAGGTGTCACTTATCCTATAAAAGTTTTTTTAAGAAAATTATCTTCTAACAAATTTATATTTTTTCGTTAATTACTTTTAAAATAATGTAATTTTTTTGTCTATTTCTTAGAGCTTTTTTTTTTTTTTTTAGTTGCATGTGTTTTTTTTTTTTTTTTTTAGTTCATTGAAGACTTTTATTGTTCAAAATAATACTGTAGGCTATATAACAGGGGGTAGCCCTCCTCTTAACTCACTAAATTTGTGAAAATACCTGGAGTCAAGAGGACTCGTACTCGAGACCTCTCACTCTTCACATAAATAAGAAAATCAATCAAATCACCATCTGATTGACTAATTCTATAACTTTCAGTTCTAACTTCACCACCGTTGAATGATACATTTAATGGAATCAACAAGATTGATTTAGCAATCATAAAAAAAAAAATGATTTAGAGGTCATTTAGTATTATTATTTCTAAAAACATATTTTTTCTCTGGAAATTAAAGTAATCATATTGATGCTATAAATGCATTATTTTTGCAATATAATTTTTTATAGGCCATTACTAATTTTAGAAAAATATATATAATTATAGATTTTCCTAATTCGTACCACAAATTGTTTCTAATATTTTCCTTTCATACAAAATGGGCTATTGACAATAGAAGTGTCAAATTTAACATTGAGCCTTCATAATCTTAAAAGTTGACTTATCGGAAATTGTGATTTACTTCTACACCTTGGTGATCTTAGACCATGAATTCCTATTTGAAATAAATGAATTTTACAAAATTTCAAATTTTATATGTCAAAAAGAAAATTATATTTCTTATTTTTTAAATTAAATTCTGAAGAATTAGACATAACTTGAATAAATTCCACCAAAATTATCGAATTTCAAATGAATTACACAAAACTTATAGAATTAAAGTTTAGAGCCAAAATGCTTATCTTTCATCTCAAAATTTCTCCATCCCCCTTCCCCCACCTTTCCTTTTTCTTTTTCTTTTTCTTTTCCTTTTTCCTTTTTCCTTTTTCCTTTTTCCTTTTTTTTTTTCTTTCTTCTTTTTTATCTCCCTTTTCTTCTTCTTCCTGCCTCTCTCTCTCTCTCTCTCTCTCTCTCTAACTATTTTTCTCTCTCTATCTTTCGCCACTTGCTCTTTATGTCCCTCATATTCTCTCTCTACATCTTTTTCCCTCTATAGCTTTCTATCTTTGACTAAAAAAAAAAGAAAAAATTAGTCCTGTTTATTATAGTTGTTTATTATGAGTTTTTTATTTATTAGAAATATGAAACAGTTTTTAGTTTTTGATTCTTTATTTTTTGAAAATTATTTTTTTTTCTAAAATTTATTTTCTTTTTTTATTCACAATGTGAAAAATTGTTCCAATTATCAAATCTTCTTATTAAGTCATTAAAGATTTTAGTTAATAATAAATTTTTTAAAAATCTAAAGTTTCAGATGAAATAATTAAAAATATTTTACAATTAAAAAAATCTAAAAGTTTAAGTCATTAAAGATTTTAGTTAATAATAAATTTTTTAAAAATCTAAAGTTTCAGATGAAATAATTAAAAATATTTTACAATTTAATTTAAAATTTTAATGTTACAGTAACTATTGATTATTATGTTGAATAAAAACATAATATCCAAATACTATAATAAATAAATAATATTGAACGACATTAGATTTATATAGATAGAGAAAATAATAATAACAACAACGATAACAATAATTTTATGAAAATAAATCTTATAAAATGAAAAAAATAAGAAATGTAAAATTAAAAATAGAAAATACAATTCTGTAAACCAATACTACCTATGGGTTAATAAATTTTATTTTTTTTGTTTTCAAAACAGTTTTCTCAGAAGTAAAGAAAAAAAAAATTAAACAAGTTTAAATAAACAGATTTTGTTTATTTTTTGAAGAAAGAAACGAAAAACAAAAAACTTAATCCAAAACCTTAATAAGTTATAGAAAGGATCTTATAGTACCACTTTAATGATAGACAAAACAAATAATGCAATATTTTCAAGGCCATTTAAATCGGAAACCATTCTAATATTACTAATAATTTTAGGCTGGATACATAAATTTATCCTTAAATTTTATTTCTTTAATTTATATTCCGAGGGAGATCTATTTTGTCCGTAAATTTATAAATTTTAGTAGCGTTGCATAATTTTTCACACTAATAGTAACTGTTTTTAGTGTTCTTGACTTTTATATGTGAAATATTTTGATTTGTGGTTAGCACAATTTTTAAAATAATAATTTTTGCATTTGTCAACCATTTAATAAGTGTTTAATTGATCTAATTCTGCAAGCTGAAATGTTTAATAAAACGATTTTGCAAGGTGAAGTATTTAATAAATATAACTATAAGTTGAAGATTACTATAGATCAAAGTAAAAGTTGAGAGTATCATTGGGTTAAAGTAATAAAATTCAAAGGTGAATTGATTTATCAGAATGATAATTTTATAACCAATTCAAATTTGATCCACCCAAATCCATTTTATTAACCTTATTTTTTACCTTGAAGAAGAATAAAAGTATTCATTATTATAGAGTCCCTTTAAACATTCGGGAGGAAGCGCTTTCCCCCTTTACGGGCTTACCCAGTGCGAATCTAGATTAGCCGGGCCAGTGGACTTGGGACACTAGATGTTTAAAAAACCAAAAAATAGATTTATTACAGCAGAGATAAAATTGAGGAGCTGTATAATTAAATTTAAGTATAACGAGGAGACTATTATTTTCAGGTGCCCACACATTTGGACGAGCTTCATGTGAAAATTTTGCTAGTCGTTTATACAATTTTAATGGCACTGGTGAGCCAGACCCAACATTGAACTCAACCTACTTAAAAATGCTTATCCAAAAATGCCCTCGAGGTAGAGATGGAGGAACGAGCCTTGATCTCACAACACCTACGGTGTTTGATGGAAAATATTATTCTAATCTTCTTGTTAATGAAGGACTTCTCCAGAGTGATCAAGAACTATTTTCTACTCCTGGGGCTGATACTGTTCATATTGTTACCAATTTCAGTGCTAATCAAACCTCTTTCTTTGCAAGCTTTGTGGTCTCCATGATTAGAATGGGAAATCTCAATGTTTTAACAGGAACTGAAGGAGAGATTAGATTGAATTGTAGGGTCGTTAATGGAAATTCAACTGGAGCAAATACCCTTGTTAGTTCAATCTGATCATAAGCAGTAACGGATGGAGGATTTAAATTTAGAAGGAAAGAGTCTACTACACTTGATATCCTTCTTTTTTTTTTTTTTTTTTTTTTTTTGAATTATTCCCTTCTTTTTTTTTTTTTTTGTTTTTATTTATAGGCACATCTAAAATTTCTTAAATTCAAAATGTCGGTTGGATAAAAAAAAAAAAAAATAAAAAAGAACTGCATAAAAAAAAAAAAAAAAAAAAAAGAACTGCATATCTAAAAATAAAAATTTTTGAAATTTTAATAAGACAATGCCTGTAAGTACCTGTGTCCATCGGTGATTGTAAGAAAATTTATACACTTTTATCTATTTGATCGTCTTTTGTATTGTGTTTATCCTATATGAGTATTTTATGTTTTGGTGAGTTAAGGAAAATTACAATTTCAGCCTATTGAGATTTCTCGTGAATAAAAAAAAAAGCCCCAACTGTGTTTGATTTTTCAGCGTATTGAGCTTTCTCGTGAAAAAAAAAAAAACAGTCCCAACAGTGTTTGATTTTTCAGTTGATCAACCACGTGTAAAATTATTCATCCGCCTGCCACGTGTTTGATCAATATTTTATTGATCTGCCTACCATTCCATGTATAGTACTTGACATTTTAACTCATCCGCCATGTTCAATTAATCACCTTTTTTTTTTTTCCGTTTATTTTGAAAAATATTTATCAGTCTATAACTTTATTTATGAATCAAATTATGAAAAAAAAAATTTAAAATTATTTCTATTTTATTCGAAATACTCTCATTTCAATAAAAATTTATATATTCATTACGTCGATCGATAGATGGAAGCATGGACCGGCATGAACAAGTCAATCCCGTTTATTTTTCTGTTCCTAAAATATCTCAAGTCACATTTCTTGTAACTTCACTTAGAAGCTTATACTAACACCTTATATTTACATATATTAAGTGTAGGTATTTGATTAATGTGATAATAATGTATACAATAAATGTGAGCATAAGTAGCTTTTTTCTTCATTAAAAATAATTTTAATTGATATATATATTTTTTATGGAATATTACTTCAACATTGAATGAGAATATGAAAAATATAAATTTTGTTGATAACGATTATATTTTTATTATTCATAGATACAGTTTTTTATATGTTTTACTTAATGTTCAAACTTGCATCTAATTGTTGATTAAGGAGGTTTTATTTTCTTGCTAATCATGAGCTTAACATAAAAGGTGTGGTTAGAGGTGAACTTATACAATCTCTACCAATTATGAAATTTTAACTTAACAATTCAAAATCCAAATCCTTCTTTTCAAGAAATACAATGTGAAAGTTAGAAAAAAAAAAAAGGAATGGTCTTCTCACATAAGCGAGGTAGAGACTTCAGTGTTTTCAAAATATTCGAAAATTATCATTTCAAGTGGCAGTTGTTTGTTATTGTAAATTCAATGAAACATTTCTTTTAGCAAAAAGAATAATTCATTATTCATTTGAATACAGAAAAAATAATCATTTCTTTTTAACTTTATTAAAGAAAATTTTCTTTCACGTTTAAAATGAAAACTCTTAGTCTTATCATTATTACAGCAAATTGGTTTTTTTTTTTTTTTTTTTTTTTTCTTAGTCTGTATTCATTGATTACAGGCAATATTGGCTTTTTTTTTTTTTGTTTTTTTTTTTTTTTTTTTTTTTGAAAAAATTAAACTAGAAATTTCTAAGAGAAAACAGTATATAAATATAGGATACATATCAATATATTTTTATATTTTTATTTAGGAAGTCTAAAAATAAACCACTTATAGAAAGAATAAAAAATATAATCTTGAATTGAAGTATCTGATTCACTTGATGGAGCATAACATTTGTGCGATAGGTGATCGCTTGCTCCACTTGATAACTATTCATGGTCGCTGTTCGATTCTATTGTCTTTCTACAAGTCCGATCTCATTACCTTTAAATTTTTTCTTTTTATTAGAGAAGAGATCTGCACTTCTTTCTGCATGGCTATCCAAATAATAAAATACGTTAGACAAAATCACCACAATAATAATAACAATAACTCAAAAATTAAATTTGAGAACAAATTACCAAGATATGGGTAATAATAAATTTCAATATTTGGGTGACAATAAATCAGATCTAGACATAAATCTAAGAATTATTTGCAAAAAAAAAACCAAAAAAGAAAGGGGTGACTATCAGTGAGAACTCACCGGTGGTCGTCCGTAGTAGAAATAAGGAGAGAGCTTCTATATTATAGATTTTAGCCTAAAAATTATCCAAATATTCTAAAGCTAAATATTTTCATCAGAGAATTTTTTTAATATTAGGAATAATAATAATTTGAGTTTCAGATGGAAAAGTCTATTGCAATCAAAGGATATCCTGAAAAAAAAGGCATGCAGTGAAAAGTCGGCAATAGATGTTCTATTTGTTTGTTTAAAGACCCGTGATAACCTGGAGATTATAATTTTTATAGTAGATCTCCGATAATTTTTATAGTAGATCTCCGATGAAGGTATGTGATTTTCTTTGATGCTTCTAATCATTAAGATGTTGCTAAACTCATTAATTTTCAGACCTGAATGATGTGAAGTGTATTTTAACAATTCCTTTGAAGACTGAGTGTGGCGGAGCTAAGGATTATTTTTGAAGACGAAATCAAACTTTAGGATGTATTAGATATTTGACAACATAATAAGAACTACATAAATAATTAAGAAAAAATTTTTTCTCAAAATTAATTAATAATTTTTTAGTTTTCAACACATTGAAATATTAAATAAAATAGTCATTTTACATATTTTACATGTTAAATAATAACTTATTAAACTTTTACGGAAGAAGCTAGCATTACAAGCTCATATTCAAAGTCAAATAAATAGGGTACCTAGAAATACCTAATTAGCTGCCGTCCCCATTTAAGGGAGGAAGAGATCAAAGTGGACTCCAAATAATTTTTAATATATTTGGTATTTATTTATTTAATTAGTTATTAGGGATATCTTTCAAATACTTTGCGTAACTTAATAAACTTAAGAATGTATCTCATGTTGAACTTCAGCATTTTTTTAACTCATGGAAGACTGGACAGGGGGAAGAGCTATTGGATTCAATTTCTACTAAATATATCTTTAGAGAGGGACGGAGAATCTTAATTGTGACTAACTCCCAAAGCTGGATTAGACGGTCCCTGATAATATGATCCGGATACCGATGGTTTATATACCCTATATTAGTATATATATATTTTAATCCTAAAAATTGGATAATAATGAGAGATATTGTGCATCATATAATATCTACATTGTAGTCCTTAGTATGAATCTGATCTATTTTGATGCTAACGTGTACGTCTCTCACTGGACATCATAATCAAGCAACTGATAATACTTTTAAATAATATTATATTTTATTATTTATTTTTTTATTCATTGAAATTTCAAGGGTCGAAAGAACATTATGATGTGCAGAAGAGAGATTATCCCTCTCCTTTATTCATCAAATTAGTGAAAATATTTTTAGTCGGTACATAAATATTATAATTTTATTTTATTTACAATAATTAAATATTTTATACATAATTTTGACAATATAATTAAAAAAATAAAAATTTACAATAATTACAGTAACAAAGACGTGTTGACTTGGACAATATTTTAAATATTTTTATTTTAGTCTTCAACAAAATGATTTTCTATTCATACATATCCAATTTCAATGGGCCAAATACATGATTAACCCCAAATTGTTTTTTGAAAAATCTTATGAGCTCTGAATTTTGAAAATGAGTTTGACTCTTAAAATTTACTTTTAATTAGAGGTAACCAAACCGAATCAAATCAAATTATTTTTTATTTTGGGTTTGGTTATTGGTATTCAGTCTTTGGATCAGTTATCATAAAATACTTATTTGCTAACTAAAACTGAAACAATATATATCGAACCGAATTAGTCAATTTGATACGGTTTCCAATCTTACTTCGTTTGATTCAATTTCAAGAAAAAAAATTATTTTCGATTTTTGATTTTTGCGGCTCGATTTGGTTCAAACTGAACCGCTTGTTTACACACCCATATTTTTTAATTTGTAACTCCCTTAGTTTCAATTTTTATCCACTTGTAGCTTTTTGAAACTAATTCACTCTTTAATTTAAGAGGCGTAAGATTGTTAAAAAAAAAAAAATTATGGCTATAAAGCCAAAAATAAAATGTCAAAAGTAACTTTAAGACACTATAAAATCACTTTCCGAATTAGAAGGCTTTGCATTAAAAATTGAGAGGTTAAATTGGGGTGTAAATGAGTCGAGCCGTCTCACGAACTATTTGAATTCGCTTGAAAAGAGTTCGAAATGTTCAACTCGAGTTCGAACTTGCTCATTTGGCAAACTAGCCGAGCTTGAGCTTAATGATGTTCAGCACGAAAACTCGTCGAGCCTTATCGAATTTAACAGGCTTTTTCGTAAATATACAAAATCACAAACAAGTAATAAAGAGTAAGTAGAGTATTGTCCTATGAAGATTGTATACCAAGTACTAAAATTAAGGACAATAAAAAAAATGTATTCGAAAATAAAATAATTAAAGTAAAAACAATAAGAATTAGATCAAGCAAGAAGTTGTCGAAAAGAAATCAAAGTTTAAAAGTTACTAGGGATTTTGACTTCTAGGGATTTTGACTTCACTTAATTCTATCTGGTTTATCTTATTAGTTTGATAATCAATTTTAATTATTTAAGAAGGAGAAATAACCCTAAATTCGCTAATAAGCTCTATCAATGTTTTATTATCTATTTTAATCCAATTCAATTACCCATCTCTTAATGGCACAACCAAACGTAGATTAAATTATTAACTTATTGTGATTATTCAAGAATTTACAAATTAAGGCCTTTAATTTTTTAAAAACCTCACACGAGTCAAATCATCTAGCTCTCACATCAAGTTGCTAGTCTCATGAAATTTATTACTTTATTCATACCAAACACCCTTCTCTCAACAGTGATTAAAGAAATAAATCAACCCAGGGGAAAAACTTTGCCTGGA